ATTAAAGCTAGTTTAATTACAGGTATGTACATTTAAGTAAGCAAGTCAATAATCTGTGTTAAACCTAAATTTACGTATCTGAGATTTTATAATAAAAATTAGGATACTTCTCCACGAATATTCGTGACTGTACAATACGAACTATACAAACAGGATGCAAACCAATTTAGTTGAAAACATTACATTTTTAAAAATGTGATTTAACAGTAAATAGGCATAATAAGTATTTCTATGGTGAGGTACTTACTAAAAATACCCGGTTTAAGAAGATAAGAGGACAAGATACAGAATTGAATGAATAAAAAGGATTAAAACGGGGATTTTGGCTATGCAAGTTTATATCCTTTTAATCCTTTGAAAATAGAAAATTGTGAGTTTTCTTACAAAAGAATATTTTGTCAGGAGTAACTCTGCCTTATTATGGCCATCACGGCAATGCTGAAGGGCAGAATTAATCCTCAGGTTTTCCGAAGAATAGGTGGTAAATCAGCTTACAATTAGTCCAGTATGGCTGATATTACCAATAATTGAAGTAACTTGACATACATCTTATCATAAGGTATAACTTCCTGGCTCATTTTGATGTCTCTTTTGCAATACAATGTAAACTTCCATCATAATGCATTACACAAAATATAAGGTGCATTACACGTAACATAATTTCATCCTAATTCTACAAAGTTTTTCTCGGCCGAATGAAAAATCGAGTAGAATCGTGGCTGTTATCTACTGTTATCGGTTCTGTTTAATTTTTTTTCAGTCTAGGCGTGTATTAAAGTAAAAGTAAAATGCTCTATACTTATATTCTCCTCTTAAGCTCGGGAGTAAATTCGGTTGAAGTAGTCGTAAACGAAGTCGACGCTTCTTAATCGTATCCAATTTTTAGTGTCAAAATTTCACCGACATCTTGCTTTCAATCATCCTCTCGTTATCTCATCGAAACAAAAGAGCATTTGTAATATTTCAGTTCTCCGTCAAAAGCGCGGAACTACGATCTGATTCTTAAGGTCGAAACATTAGAGCGTATTAAACACAAACGCTATGCAGATTCGGTTCAAAAAGCTAGCAACGAGTCTCAATTGAAGGTCCATTTCCAACCTTTTTAAGGAAAGCTATGATGTAGCAAAACGTTAAAAATCGATTTAAAAACAAATCTTATCAAAATTTGGCACCAAATTGCACCATCAGAAACAAATTTGGTCCTTCAAAGTCAGTCACGACTAAAGTCATGCTCAACAGTGTCACTTGTGAGGGCCTTCAATGAGATACTCATGCCTCATCTCAAGGGTGTTTGAGTTAATGTAATGGTTTTTTTTTTTACTTTTCTCTATCTACAAAGAGGTACTTTGTAAGATGTCTGCATTACATAAAACTTTAGTCAAATGTATTAACCTATTTTGGCCGAATTAAAAAACCTCGGTAATTTCCATTCCGATTACCGAAATTTACTTCACATTCCGCTGACTTAATAAACTCACATTTACAATGTTGCTAACTTGACATTTTAGATACATAGTTTTTTTCTTTTCTTTTCTTCTTACATACATATATAATAACATTATAAAGGACCAGTTGACAAGATGAGGAGTAAATTGATACAATTCAGTGTAATACCTTTAGTCAGGACATGGATGGGTTTTGAGCAACAACCTCTGAACTATAAATGAAAGTCGTGTACTCGCGCTCAAAACATTTTGCAGGGTGAATAATACTGAATATTTCCCAACCTGCGAAGAACGTAATTTTCTTTTGAGGGTGAAAGTTCCAAGATTGCAATTTCAGGAGAGCATGCTGGACTGGAGAGGTGCAACGCGTCCTCAAGGGCACTGTTCGCTCCTTTATAAAATTCGTCAGTGCTTGGAAAAAAGAAGCTGAAATTTTAGTTATCACGTTTCACCCTCTCTTTCCTCCCCTTTGAGAGCTTTTGACAAATATGCATTAATTTTTTGGTGAGCCACCTGGGGGAGTGGCATTAGTGACTTAGGCGTAAAGCTCTGCAGAGAATGAGAATACTGTCTCAATTTAAACACAAACGCAATAGGTCATGGACAAAGTTCTAGACAAGAGGGAAGAGCAACTGAACATCTCTAGGAAGATGAAAATTTCCACTGAAAGTTCCAAAAAAGAGACTTATTTTATCTGTATATAGTTTGCTTTTGTTGCTATATTTTAAAAATAGTATCTCCACCGAATTACGCGTTGAGACTTAAGTTTAGGAGTGATGAAAAATACAAATAATTAGGGCCTGAAATTATTGAATAGGAGAAAAAATGTAAGAAAACTTCGAAGCAAAGTCTTGATTCGTTTTCCTCTTGACAGTATAGTAGGTATATTAGGAAATTTTAGAACCCTGCAATTTAGATGCCTGGTTTAGGGATCTAGCTATCGTAGTTTTTGTTTTTCCAGACCTTATCTACTGGTCCATTTTAACATGAAGTGGATTTTATTTATCTATCGGACACAAATTTTTCGTCGGATGTACCGATTGTGTAGGCATCAGACACAGAAAAGTGCCTTTTGCTCTCGAAGAAGAAGCGAGAAACCTTGTACTAGTCATTTAAAAAAACAGTTGCCTAACTTATTAAGAATCCTTTGATGATAGCCAAAAACGCCATGTAATAACATTTGTGTCCGAAAGAGAGATGAAACTCACTTAAGGCGAATCTACAGCGGAAGAGGTCAAAAATCGAAATATTGCACATATTTCGCTGAAATACTGGTTTCATTTTGAGTTTCAGACAAATAACGGGTTCATTGGGCCTAGCCCAAAAATTAACCTTTCGAACACAATATTATACATTTGCAAAATTTCTTTAGGGATTGTCAAGAAAAATGTTTTGTGAAGAACCAATTGAAACGAGCCCCTAGGCTCACATACACACACTCACACACAAACTGTTTTTTCAGAACTTGAAAGCGATAGCAGTATTTTACCAAAAATGTTCTATACCTCGATGTTTTTTTAACTTCCGGTGTTGATTCACCCTCAAGGAAACAAAGACACCAGCCTATAACAGCTTCACCGATATAAACAATAATACTATTTTCTTACATTGAAGATTCCAACCATTAAACTGACTTGTAGACCTAGTTAAATTCTGTCGCCCACAGTGAGAACGGTATAACTCCATTCACAATGTTGCATCTTACTTTCAGACAAAATGAGCACATATACAAAAGAAAATTTGTTTCCCGTCTTCCTTCCTTCTTCATTGTATTGTTTTAATAACTTGAAACGCAGTAATTCTGGACAAAAACGAGATGAGGCTTCGCAGGTTGTCTAGCAATAGAATACATCGTTGGGGGAAAATGGAACAAAGGTAGTGGCGTGGCGTGCTTTGCGATATGTCGAGTGTTCTGCCATTTAAGCCTATGGTAAAGAATCGATTACTGAGGTGTTCACTGCGAACACCCTTATTATCGATCCTTTTACATAGGTTTGAATGGCATAACAATCAATATATCGCAAAGCACGCCACGCCACAGAATGGAGTTACAGCATTCTTGTTCTGGACAGCAGAGTTAGACTTCAATCTAGAGGCAATGAAAGTCATTCCGAGGCAAATTGAGTAACTTTAAGCCAATGGTAATTTAGAGCTAAAATAATTTATTGGACCATACTGTGCAATAAGGATCTGAAACGTATGGCTCATTTTCGAAACAACGCCGTTAGTTTCCCTATGCAGAAGGGTGCCTTCAAGTATGAGTCAGGAGCAAAAGTATCTAATTTCAAAATGAAGACTGCGTTTAGCAGATAGGAACCAAGCCACATTGGCTGTTGCCAAATTTAAGTGGGAAATTCAATTTTTTCCAAGAGAACGTTTGTGCGGATTCCTTCGAAAATTTTAAGGAATTCGCTCCGTGCTTCGTAATCTTTTATGTGGGAACATACTTTTATCATTTTTACCAGCTCCGGAATCGGACTTAAACTAACATTGTAAAAAAAACAACACTTATTTACAGATATAATTGTGATGACGATTGTGTTCAGTAGGGCGCACAGTGGATCGCGTTAATAGAAGAGGTCGGACATGAAGTTCTTTACTAAACTGCAAATTTTGATGTTTATTCCGTCACATTTTAAATTTTAAGGCGTGCTTACTGAAGAAAATTCTACGAGGAAACCAACGGAACCAATTTTGGAACCCTAAAGTTTGTATACGTCGCAGGCAATTAGCAATCGCCGGCAATTTGCAAGCCAAGGGTGAATAAATATAGAAAATCATATGATTCAAAAAAAAAAGAACAAGACTAGAGTGCTGATTATGTTGCCTATAATGTGAGTAGACACCTTTCCATTCTAAAAAACATGACTGGAATGTGCACACTCAGAAGAGCGTGCAGTGAACTCCGTGACATTAGTTGGGTTGAGATCGGACAGGCAACTAAACTAACATCCAGACAAAGCGTAGAGTATCACAAAAAATGAAGGCGCTTCAAGCCTAGCTGATACTTCTGAAGACTACATACTTTAAAAATTGCATGATGCCGATCCGCATTATAGCGATATATTGAAACAACATGTGGACCGCTTGCAAATTGCCGGCGATTGCTAATGGAGATGTTGCATGTGTGAGGGATTTGCGATTTGACCATTGATTCGTATGTAAAAGTTCGCGAGAAACACGATGATGCCACTGGTTTTCTCTGAAATCAACTTCCAAGCTCAAAAAAAGCTCTCAAAGTGAGGCCAAAATGGAGGGGATACCCCACCTACCCTGAGAGTCCACATCTACATCAAAACAAACTCTCCATGCAAAGATAGGAAGCAAATACATTGACAGGGCTGCCACTTTATTTGGGGACTCCAAAACTGAAAACACAGCAACCCTGCTAATGTATTTGCTCCCTATCTTTGCATGGAGAGTTTGTTTTGATGTAGAGGTGGACTCTCAGGATAGCGTGGGATATCCTCTCCATTTTGGCCTCATTTTGAGAGATTTTTTTGAGCTTGGGAGATGATTTCAGAGAAAACCAGTGGCACCATCGTGTTTCTCGCGAACTTTTACATAAGAAACAACAGTCAAATCGTAAATCCCTCACATATGCAACATCTCCATTGCCTGCGACATATAGACGGAATCATAAGCTTTTAAAATTTCCAAATTTTGTCGGACCTCTCCAACTGACTCGATCCCTCGCGGGGGGGCCTCGAAGGCCGGAATCACGATGTGAACTTCGGGAAGTGGAGGGGTTTGGGGGCGGAGGCGTCGGGTTGGGTCTCGGCGGTGGCGGCAGCTTCGATGAGCTTGCGCTGTTTCTGGTGTCGGAGCTTGTGCTTCTCCTGCTCGTAGAGGCTGATCGCGGGGCCGCCGCTGCGCTTGGACGCGGCGCCCGCCGAGGCCTGGCTCGGGCTCCGCACGGCCGCGATCCCGCTCGCGTTGAGCTTCCTGAGCGCCTCCTCGAGGCTCAGCTTCTGCTGCTGCTCCTCGCTCATCTCCGTCGTCGTCACGTCCAGCGTCGGGTACATCGTCGGGTAGAAGTCCGTGCCCCACGACGAGTTGGAGGCCTCCCGCGTCGCGTCCAGCACGAACCCCGGCATCGGCATCGCTGATCCTGGGCAAGAAAGAACACACGGTAAGAAAATGTAACCTGGGCTCCGATTATTGAAATTGATAGACAAAGAAGACAAAAGGGATCCATATCCCTCCAGGATCACCAATAGGATCCCTCCATGGGATCCTATTGGTGGAAGCGGGTGGTGAGTAGGGCGGATGGGGTGGGCTGGGAGTGTGGCGGGGGTGGGGAATGCTGCGATTGTTAAAATTGGTAGACAAAGCTATAGACAAAGAAGACAAAAGGGATATGAAGGGATCCTATTGGTGGAAGCGGGTGGTGAGTAGGGCGGATGGGGTGGG